GGGGGGGTCTACTACCTGAAACTACCAAAGTCTGACACGGGTCCATTTTGCTGAAGCACTGCCTTCAAGGGAACTTGAGAGGTTTTCGAGAACAAGGTCTTTTCTAGGTTTCGGGTAAAAAAAGGGGTCAGCGACGTTGTCAGCGTATAAGTCGACATCGAGATCTACAAGAAGTTACACGATTTGCCAGGAATGAATATGAAACCACGGAGAAAAGGGTACCACGAGTGCCCGCACCCGGCGTAGGGCGTGGCAGGGTAGCGCACGATATGTGGAGGCGTAGACGAGCAGAGAAGAAGAAGCAGAGCCGACGAGGCTTGTAGCTCTGGTCGCACATCTGGGCGGTCTGAACAAATCCCTGCAACATTATATACCATTTCAGTCGACATGAGATGACTAGATGCCGTGATAACGTTGCCGAGGTTAAAAAGCACTCCACAACGAGATAAAACCGCAATTTCGTATAGCTCTTGCTCAATTTGAGAGCAGCTTTTGACTTTTACTAAACCTCATCAATCTTTCCAAATTTCGTAAACTTATTTATAGTGGGAAAGTCGGTTTTGAAGAACAGTCTAGAGGAGCCTACGGAAAATTCTTTAGTGCTGCAAAAAAGGCAGAAAAAAGGCAAAAAGGCAGCAAAAACGCACTTTTGATGCTGCTGAGATCTGCGAGTGGGTTTTCGCTCTAGCCTCTTCATTCACAATCGTTTCAATATGATTTTTGAGCTCAAAATCTGGGTGATTTATTATTTTAGAATTAAAGGAATTGTTTTCTTTGATCGATCAGAGGGAAGGTTACAAGAGTTGATGTTCTAACATTTCTTATGCCGCACAGATTGGTATGGTGAAACTTTATTGACCTAACTTTTCAAACAACGGAGGTTCGTCGCAGGACTGAAAAGGATTATAGTTTACGTATCCGCTATACTGTGCCGCCAAACATCAGTCACAAGAGCATGAGTTTGTTTAGTGAGCACGAGAGCAACATGAGTACATTAGACTGATAAACCTTTACTGCCAAACAGATTCAAAAATAATCTTTCCAAGTTGAATCTCGAAGAGATATGATGGCCGCTTGTCACTGGGATCAATGCCTATATAGACGCTGCACCAGACGTTTGGGTCTAAGTAACTGGTGGCATTTATATGTGCAGCAGGATTGTTGAAATCAACCTTAAATAGGGGGAACTGAGTTTATTGGATTTACTGTTATGGAATAACATGGAAAGATTCACCTGCAGGACGGTGATCGCCCAATGATCAAGATTTACGGATCGTTGAATAGTTCTTGCAACAGTTGCAGGATCACCAGATGATAAAGCTGCTTCGATTATCTAAGCACAAACAAGCTATCGGCAGTAAAATAACGTCAAAAGTACCGGTTTTTGCAGCTCTTCAGAACATAATGGGAAACACACATGAATTTGTGGATCGTCCATCACACAGTAGTTGTCGGCTGTAAATTCAAATTTGACCGTAACCCTCAGAAAATTCGTACATTATCATTGCTATCTTTTATAATGGTTTCAGACGGTCACCAGTGAATTAAGGGTTGCTCGAAAATTGTTTTCGTAGAGAATGCGCTCTAAGGGGTAATATAAGAGCA